GGCATCCATGATTCACACAAATTTTTGTTACTCATTCCCTGGCACATGATGTATTTCATTGCCAATATTTGTGGAGCACACTGTGAAGTGAGTGGCACTGAGAAGTATGTCCTAAAAAATGTTTATCCTGTGCATGTCTGTCATTTACACACCTGTTAATTTTAACTCATCCAGCTCCACTGTGACATTTGTCTTCTTGATTACAACCAATTAACCATCACTGCAGCACCATCCCTTGTCTATCCAACAGGTAAAACATCACAGTATTGAGTGTTGGGTAGAAAAAAAGAGACTAAAATCAGTCTGCACTTGGAGGACATGAGAGTGCCTCAAGACAGTTCTGAAATATTATGAAACATTTCAGCTTTCTTAAAATATTTGATTATTTATACACAGAGAGGTGACTTTTATCTACAAATAAACAGACTGAAACCTAAGCCTCCTTTGTAGCCTACAGAAAAATCATTATGACTTTCATGCATTTTCAATAGGAGTTGAACTTCTTGTCACTGGTTCTTTAGTCTGAGTTTTCTCCCCTTCACTATCTTCAATACTTTCCATAACATCTAATTTTTATGTTATTTAGTCACATCTCTGAAGCTCCCTCATTGATCTTTGCAGCCACTTCAGGCATTGTCTTCTCTGATACCAGCAAAAAAATCTGTTGAGTTGCTCATTTCTGGAGTGGAGTTTATGCCTAAAATTTGAAAAGGGGGATTGAAAGAGAAAAATAGTGTGTCTTTATTGCATCCAATTTGGATTTTATCCTAAAACAGAATCTAAAATAGAAAAACAGCACTTGCAAGAGCTAGAAAAAAACTTTTGCTGAACATTCATGAATTTTCAGCTTTATAAATTGTCATTCCTAGACCTCTCTCTCTTTTGAGCTGTAGGACTCAGTTGTGACACTGAAGGGAAATTGGTGTATGGATTATGGCAGGTTTAGGAGAGCAGATGAAAAGAAAATGCAAACATCGAAGTGCATAACTATATAGGAAGCTTCCCTTATGCAACATTTAGAGAATTCAGTTGTAGTTCAGCCAAAAATATTTATTTTGACTCCTTTGTATTTGAATCCTTACAAGGAAGGGTGAACTTCAAGAAAACATCCATACTAATTGTGTCCAGAATTTCTATTTTTTAGATATTCCTAAGCAATAGCTAATGGCCAATGGTTAACAACACAGGTGATCACTGGTGTAGTGAACCATAAAAATCTGCTTCATTTCAAAATTCCTATGTGGAGACAAGCTAGGATATAGCCCATTGGTCCTTATGTTTTCCTGGGGTCTATTGAAGCTGTCATGAACAGAATCAATAATCCCCTAATTTGACAGAGCAAAACTATGACAATGAGTTAATCCTCCCAAGTGCTTTGCCCGTGACACAGTAACAACCAGAAAACAAACATGGAATACACTGGTTGCTTGTGGTTGCTTCTTTTGTAGTTGCCACTGGCAACAACCAAATTAACATGTAAGAAGTGCAATAAAATTTATATTGATTTTAATTGACAAAGAATATGTCTTTTTGAAAACAAATAAACCTAGCAGGAAAAAAGATGTAATGAAAAATATAATCTTTTCAAGATTTCTTTTTTAATTTGCACAGCTGCAGTGTTTTATCACAGTGAACTAAAAGAACAGTAAATACTAGGCAGCTGAAACTTAAACCATTATATATCTTCTAGTTTTCAGCTCAACATCTGCTACATCATTTCTTAGACTTCAAAGTGTCTGGGAAGAGAGACTAAGGATAAGAAAACTACATCTTTTCACCTGAAAGTATATATATTTTTCAATGACAAAGGACTATAGGCTATATTCTGTTGATATTACACAACAAAAGGGCACTTTGAAATTCTTGTTTTAATTTAAAGAAGCTACCTCTGCAGTAGTCATTTGGGGAGGGGGTGGTTACAAGTGAAAGAAACTTGACTGAAATATGTCAAGTTTTCATGTTGAGTAAAAGGGAACATGTCCGTGTTTCCAAATGAAGTAACACTAGTGCAGGCAAGCTGTTTCTGAGTGGGATAACACCCTCAGGTACCTCCAGAAACCAGTCCAAGGAAGTGGTTGTCTTTCCTGTGCTGCACTGATTTTCAGTGCCAGGAGAGAGTTCTGATTTCAATAATTTCCTCCTCAAAATGAGAGGCCCTGATTCTTCTCCTGCATCTATGGAAATCAGGGGAGAAAGACAACAGAGTAATACTACCATTAAAGCAAGGAGAGGATAAGAGACAAGAGCTTGAATATCACTTTATTTATCATTTTCATTAAAAGGAATTAGAGTTAATGAGCACAGCTTGTAGTAAAATTAAGACATGCCGTGCATATCCTATTTAACCTTTCTTTTATCTTACTCTGGGTTTTCTCTATTTGCCAGAGCTTCTATAAATGAACATATAAGACAGCTTTGGCACACATCGTTAGAAAAATCTGTATGTTTTAGTTTAGAATCAGATCAAAACACTGTAGTTCAAAAAAATCAGAACTCTAAAGTCTTATTTAAAGCCTTTCTTCTGTTAGAGGGAGTTATACAAATGTCAAAGCACCTTAGAAGCCCCAGTACTCTATTTTAAAAAGGCTGAAAAACTAAAATCCTATTAAAGCCACACTGCTAACCACACCAGCTGTATGCACTGCCTGAGTAATGTCTACTCCCTGTCTCTATTTTGGAGGGATTTAGCCTAAATCATTTTGCCACAGAGAGAGCTAACCCTCAGCAGCACGGATTTCAGTCAGTTCGTGCCATTTGACCCCAAGCCCAGCTATATATCCCCAAAGTCACCAATTGGTACTTCACAAAAAAGCCACATTCAGAGAGACCAGAACTTAGACACCGACACTCAGCCCCAAGATGGGATGAAGTGGTGTGATTCCCTTCCTACACAAGTGCTTGTGGGCATGCTGGCAACCCCTAGCTAGCCCAGTGTGGTCAGAGTACCAGTTTTCATGGAGTTTTAGGAAAAATTGATGAAGTTACTGAGGCAAAAGAATGAGGATGCTTTTTATTCCCCCAGTCTGCCTGCTGAAGGGGAATGATACCTTTTTTTTGGCCGTTCTTCCAGACAGACAAGGAAAAGCTTGGTCACAGCTGGAGCAAGTGCCTCTCTCCAGGCTGAATTCATCACTGGGAAGCATTTACTGATTCCTAGAAATTAAAAGCATCTCTCAAAAGTCATTCCTGTTGCTTAAAATATAGCTGGAGGGTAATGAAGCCGTGTGAGGTGATTTCGGCTGCATTCTTCATGTTCCTCAAAACATTTCCATTTTGCAGACAGAAAAGTGGCCATCCTGGAAAGAGGGGATACTTTCAGTCCTTCCTGCTG